ACAACTACTGGCCACATTGTATTGGGGCTTTAATATAACAGTTCCAGATTCCTCCTGTTCAGATGAGATAAGCACCAACATCCTGCTTCTTGTCTCCCATGTAACTGAGGTACATGATTCAAGAGTCGGTGAGACCTATTTTCCCCTGATGCCCTCAGCCACTGACATGTGACCGGTCCAGGCTTTCTTCCTCCTGTGGGTACAGAGGCTGCTGCACTTGCAAGCCATCACTGGACTCAGTGTTCAGGCTCCTTGACAACTATAGCTGTGAGTCTGTCACATGGCTCTCTCCTCCCTCTGTCTCCACCAAACTCCACACTGGAAGCATTGCTACCATGGATGAGATGCTTTTATGGTTGGACTAGAGGCCTAATGCATGAAATTCGTGCAAGAATAGGCCTTTCTTCCCCCAGCTACTGGCGCCAGCTTCCCTCCGGCCACTGGCAGGTACCCAGGGCCCGGGCTTCCCTCGCAGCCCCGGCACTGTCTGGAAGGTCCTTCAGTCTAATTAGCATGCTATGCTTTTATTATTATAGATGATAAAAGGTTACAAGAATACATTCTGTGTATCAGAGGCAAAATGGACATTGTACCTCATGATCCAAGTCTCCTCTGATTGGCTCAACATAGCTCCATCTCACTTCCTAGCCCTCAGGCAGGCCATTTCTCAAAAGAAGGCTTAAATAACAAACAACATTTCCTCCTAACACTGCTTCTCTGCTTTTCATTGTCTTTCTTCTTCACTCAAGCCAGTGATCTGAATGCCTGAAACTTTAGTTCCCAAGAGTTCTACTTAGCTAGAGGTAAAACTTTCCTTAAGTCCTTGTTATAATGCAAATATGTGACATGAAAGGGTACCTGTTTAATCCATTACTCCACTGATAGGAGCTAGTTTACCATATTAGCTAAATTAAAACAACCTGGGGAAATTAAATAATGTATGGATTGTTTAATAAGTGAAAGGGGGGTACTTACTGAGTCCCTATTTACCCCCTGCATAACACATTAGCACTGGCTAAGGCCACCTGGGGAGGGAAGGAGGGTGCCACAAAGATCCCTCAGAGACAATTCCTGGGGTACAGAGGGGAGCACCAACCAGCCAAAGACAACTCCACACAGCCAGCCAAAGAAGGCGGGAACCTCAGGGCTGACCTGTGCATTGTCACACTCCTCTGGTGCTGAGAACCCACGTGGGTTCTGTCAGAGGAAAGTAGGTATGCACTTTCCACCAAAGGGGGAGAGTAAACAGGTTTCATTCAGCCATGGGACACTGGGACATTTGCCGACTGGGCTATTGGACAGATTGCTTTTTGTAACCCTTTTAGGTTTAGGAAAAATAACATGTATCCTTCACTTCACCAGTCTGCGATGCACCCTTGTTTTCTTGGACATCCCTTGATTCAACTTGGCTTCTTCCTCAAACTCCTCCAAAGACATTTTCTCCTCATTATAGGAATTTCCAATTCCTCTGTCTTCATTTAGGGGATTATTTTTGATGCTATCACTGGCTGATGTTTTTAATATGAGAATGTTATTTAAAGTCCTACTTATCATTTAGTCCTATTTATACTTAGTACTAGGGACCGGTGCATGAAATTCATGTGTGTGTGTGTCTGTGTCTCTCAGCCCAGCCTGCATCCTCTCCAATCTGGGACATTCCTTTCACAATCCACAACTTCTGGCTCCCAACTGCTCACCTCACTGCCTGATTGCCCCTAACTGCTTCTGCCTGCCTAATCAACTCCTAACCACTCCCCTGCCAGCCTGATTGACATCTAACTGCTCCCCTGCCAGCCCATTGCCCCTAATTGCCCAACCCTGCTGGCCTGGTCACCCCTAACTGCCCTCCCCTCCAGGCCTGGTCACCCTCAACTGCCCTTCCTTGCCAGCCTGGTCACCCCAACTACCCTCCCTGCCAGCCCAACTGCCCCTAACTGCCCTCACCTTCTGGCCTAGTCACTCCTAACTGCCCTTCCCTGCAGGCCTGGTCCCTCCCAACTGCCTTCCCCTGCAGGCCAGATTGTCTCTAACTTCCCTCCCCTGCAGGCCTTATTCCTCCCCAATTTCTCTCCCCTGAAGACTTGATCACCCCCAACTACCCTCCCTTTCAGGCCTGGTCCCTCCCAACTCCCCTCCCCTGCTGGCCTGATTGCCCACAACTGCCCTCCCTTGCTCGCCATCTTGTGGTGGCCATCTTGTGTGTTGAAGTGATCATCAATTTGCATATTACCACTTTATTATATAGGATAACATATGGTCTTATAATAGTTAACTACCAAGAAAGCAATTAGAAATATGTTGGTTGTGACCATTTGTGTTAATGTCTACTAGACTAGGCTAGTCACTTACTTGTTTCTTATTAATATGGAATTCTTGACATTTATTAGGGTGGTTTAAAAAAATCTCATTGTATTATTTAAGTTATTTTATAAATTTTGAATTTTAATATAGAGCAGGTTTAATTAACAATATCTTGCCTTAGAATCAACTAATAAAATTTTTATTAACATGATTGTTCTTGAATGAGAGAAATGCAAACATTCAGATCCACACATTTCCTGATTGTTCTTTGTCAAAGACATTAGCTGATACTTGTTAGAGGAAGAAAATGTTTAGATTTGCTCAGTTGCTATGATTGGAAATATTCTATGATTACAAAATATTGTGAGGACATGTGGCAACACTTCATCCAGCGAAAATAAGGACATTGGGATTATCAGAGTGCTAAAAAGTATCTTCTTAGTCCTTCTTGTGGAATAAAGATAAATAACCACTGGAGATGTGGAGTTTCATTCAGCCTTGAAATGGGTGAACTTTTTTAAAGGTCTGTGACGATCTTATTGATTGGTTAACCCAGGAGCCATTCTCAATGCCATTCGTCCTACTACCTCATGCCACAGAGTGTAGAAAGCAACGTTCTTTCCCACCATCCTTTGCAGCTGGGATTGGCCTTATGCTGGGTTCTCATCAGTGACATGTAAGGTGGTGTCATGGGAGTGGTTTCTGGAGGAGTTTTTACTCTTCCTTATACTCTGTGCCTTGAATGTGGATAGGGTGGCAGAAATCAACCTACAATCGAGCAACATGCATGAGGACTAAACGCCAGGGCTTTGATAACATTGTTAAGTGGCTGTACCTCCTTTGTGCCTTCCTCCACACTTTTAATTAAATAAGATGATTAAATGACTTTATTACTGTAATAGTGGCTAGTTTTGTTGTTGTTATTTGCAGTCATAGTGGTTTATTCACATAGTCCTCCCCCAGCTTAAGGTGCATCTACACTTAGGTGAAGACCAAGCCAGCAATCAGAAATGGGACGAAATTTATGTCCATGAGAGGAATCTAAAGCAGCTTGTGCCAAAGCACGTTAGGCGGGATGGAGGTATGCATGTGGACTACACAGAATGTGTGACCACTGAACACTTGGAATATGGCTGGTGCAATTCAAGAAGTAAAGCTTTAATTTTATGTAGTTTTAATTAATTTAAATTGAAATGGAAATAGTTACATCTAGCTACCAGATATAGGGCTGAATAGCACAGATCAAAAGAATGGCTAGACTAATGAAAAAACAAACCAACAAACAAACAAACAAAAAAGAAAACACTGAGATCATGCAAGTCTCTGGGAGAAAATTCAGCCTTTAAGTTAATGTATGTTGTCTTCCAGGCCTAAGAACACCTCGTTATGGAGAAATGATGACTCATGGGGGCTTTTCATGGCGTAGTGTTTGAAGGCTGTTAAACAATATTTAACTTGCTTATTAGCTAACTATGCAGAAATGATACCAATTTAAGCATTTTACATTGACAACTACAATAAAGGCTGTCTTTCTGGAATAATAATCTTATTGAGACTACGCTCATTCAGCTGTTTGTCAAGTCTTTTGTATTCCCAATTACAAATGAAAAGAATAATAATGGTGTACCCGTCTCATTAAGCTGTGGGAGCATAATAACTCTCTGAGATAAACTGTAAATTACAGTTTGCAAAGACTGCTGGATAGACTAGAAAATCAGCCGGAAAGTGAAGCAATGTGGTGCTAAGAGCAGTGAGATGCTGAGAATTGGCAGCTGAAGGTCCTCCCTTGAAAAGGCAAGAGTGGCAGACACTGATCATGCCAGAACCCAGACTCTCATGCCCTATGACAGGGGATTCAAGACTGTCTGCCACACCCCAAAATGATTTGCAGAAACGATGTCATCATGCCTTTGTGTCTTACATACAGTAAACAGCATGCTTGCGTTTATAGCCTTTTAGAGCCTGAGGAAGAACTAATTCTGCAAGTGTGCCTGGTGGCCCAGAGCTGTTAAAGTTATCACCACACCTATTCCTGGCAAGGATCTGTCACAGACAGCCTCTCTATCACAGTTACTTCTGCCTGCTGAAAACAGGTCAGCAAAGTCCCTGTGGCTGCGAACCTGAGTTCCTTCAAGCTAGGATTATGCATACTTTTAAGAAATTGCTGACAAGCCAAAATTCAGAGACAAGACAATCTATAAACAGGGTTCTAGCAGACATAATAAAGATAATGAGTTGAAAACTTTGGCAAGCCATATGTACTTAATCTCTTTGATTAGTTGGTGTAACAATTATCCAATTTAAAAAGCATTCAACTCAAGAAAGCCGGCACTCCACCCACATTTCTAACAGAGTAGTTGAACAAACTAGAGAAACTGGATCAATTCCAAGTTGATTTTTTTTCCTCAGAGAACTATTATTTATACTCAGTATTATGCCATGTTGTATTGACAAGTACTTCTCATCCGTTTGCTTTGCAATTCCATTACAAACACCTATGTTTCTTCATAAGTTCTGCTTTGATCCACTTATTTTATAGTAGCTTCCAATGTCTAAGAAGTTGAAGTTTACCATGTGTGAGAGGTCAAGACTCACTCTTGATTGTGAAGGCATAGACATGGTCTATGGAAACACATCTTCTGAAAGATGTCATGAAGAAAATATCTCAGCTAATGATGTATCAAGACATAAATTCTTACCTATGATGTGGCTCTGAAATGCAGAATCTACAACTGTATCTTCTTCATCCTCTTTCAGGTTTTCAGTTGTCTCTTTTACCTGCAGCAACAAAAAATTCACTCTAAGTTCTATTTATTATGTTAAATAGATCTTCTGCTATCCCATCCTCAGAATAAAGCCAGAATATCTAACATGTGAGTATGTTTTATACACACACACACACACACACACACACACACACAGAGTGGCCAGATTATTATGATCTATGTACACATAATAAGACCCAGTGCATGAATTCGTGCATGGGTGGGTCCAGCCTGCCTAGCCAGGGGGAGGGGACATTGATGGTTGGCCGGCCTGCCTGCTGGTCGAACTCCTGGTCAAGGGGACAATTTGCATATTAGCCTTTTATTATATAGGATATACAATGAGTGGCCAGATTATTATGTGTTCAGAGATCATAATAATCTGGCCACTCAGTGTATGTATATGTGTGTGTGTATCAGAGGCCCAATGCATGAAATTCGTGCAAGAGTAGCCCTTCCTTCGGCTTCCAGGTCCTGCTTCCCTCTGGCACCTGGCCCCCGCGCTTCTGTAACAGCCCTGGCTTTGTATGGTAGGTTGTCTGGAAGGATGTCCTGAAGGACATCTGGTCTACTTAGCATATTATACTTTTATTATTATAGGTATTATATATAATCTTTTCCTTCCACTTTTCCCTTTTCTATCACTTGGCTTTATTACTAATACAAGTTTTAATTATAAGAGCATACTTTCCAAAATATAACCACAGCTCTGAAAATGAGGATTTATAGGGCACCTAATTATACATAAGACTTTGGAGATACCAGCTTTGGTTTTTAATACTTAATAAAGTCAGTAACACAGAGCTGTAAGGAAAAATTAAAGTCTAAGGAAATATAATATTCCTCCAGAGTCAGTGACTTCCACTACAAATTTTAATAAGAGTAAAGAAATATACTTAGATAACCTGACCCTTTCCAAGACTATAACTCCCTAAGAAAATGATATATTTTTTTGTTCTTTCCACGATGAAAGATGAAGTGACTATGACATGTGGTCAGCGAACTAGAGCAGTGAGGCATTTATTTAGTGTTCCCAGGTCCAAAACATTTCCCTTATATTTGCACTGGAATATCCAGATGCTGAATGGCATGGGATCAGATGGAACTCTACAGAGCATCTACTAACACTACAGTCTTTTACAACTGAGGATTCTGAGATCTAGCATGTTTCCTTAAACATGTTTAAAAAATATATATTTTATTGATTTTTCACAGAGAGTAAGGGAGGGGAACAAAGAGCCAGAAACATTGATGAGAGAGAAACATGGATCAGCTGCCTCCTGCACTCCCCCCACTGGGGATGTGCCTGCAACCAAAGTATATGCCCTTGACCAGAATCGAACCTGGGACTTTTCAGTCCGCAAGCTATCCACTGAGCCAAACCATTTTCAGCTCTTAAACATGTTTTAAGTGGCAACACCGGAATTAAAACCCAGGCCAATTACATCCCAATCTAGCAGCACCAGTAATAAAATTATCTACAACACCAACGAAAATACAAACAGCGAACTACTGAACACTCTGCAGCAGGTGCTCTTCACACCCACGGTCTCACAGGCCTCACAGCAACAGCAGGAGGCGGTGCTTCTGTTAGTTCCATTTCAGAGATAAGGACCTTGAAGAAACACACTGAATGAGTGACTGCACAAGTGATGGGACTGAGATTCAAACACAGCAACTCCGGCTTGAGATCGTTGTTTATTTGGGGGTTCTGTTCTATTCTCAAATTTCTGTTTGAGAATAGATTTGGACTTAGTGTCAAGACAGCTTATGGTCTTTGGCAGAATGACCCAAAATAGCATTTTTAAAAATACACCCTAGCCAGTCACCTGGGAAGCCAGTAATAACAACAGGAACTGTGCAATGAGTGTGATTTGGGTTCTGCTCCTGCACATATAAGAGGGTGCTGGTAGATTTGCGCAGGGGCTCGAGTTGAATGCCAAGAAACCCTTAAAGTTATATTCATGATGTAGAAAGTCATATGGTTGCATCCTGACCTTGAGCTGAGTTTAGCTTTCTACTTTTTACCTCCAATTTTTCATATTTAATGCGGTAAGAACAATTATTTACATTTTATGACCACAGTTTTAATGTTAGAATGTAATTGGTGCTTAATCTGGGCATGCTGGCAGCCAGAAAATGGCAAACTCAAGAGGGTGTGGATTGTCACTTGAACCGCACCAGCAGAGCTGTTAGGGTGGAATATCCAGTGGCCAGGTTTCCTTACTTTCTTTCCCATCCTGTCCGCTCTGCAGGGACTTCCCTGGGTGTTAGCATCTCCAGAGGAAGAATGTGGGGTAACTGGCTTCCTCCATAGCTGTTTCTAGCAGAGCACATTCAGGGACGGAAGAGAGGAAAAGTGCTCTGAACATTCCTGAGGCCAACAGGTTACTTATTTGCCTTCTGAGGTTCACCAAGCTCCTGATCCTTTTGGGACATAGCCACCACAAGACCCACTGAAGGAGTCTCCAAACACCATAATTAACAATCCAACAAGAACCATCTACCTTTATTTATAGAAACAGCAAGGAAATCAGTATTTTCAGCACATACCAGTTCTTATGGCAATATGCTCCATGTTTTCCTCCACCTGGTATGTCATGTTCCTTTAGGTGTTTCTAAAGTGACCCCTTTTAAACTTAAAGGGGTGCCCTGCTAACTTAGCTGATGTGTTGTAGGTGATTCATCTCCATCAGTCTGTAACATTCTAAACCAAAGAATCTAATAATTAGGAGAAGATCCTCATTTTATAGATTAAAAAAAGGCTAGGAGAGGGCTAGTGATCTGTTTCAGGGCACACAGGGTTTCAGTTTTATTTTTTATTTATTTTTTAAATATATTTTATTGATTTTTTACAGAGAGGAAGGGAGAGGGATAGAAAGCTAGAAACGTCGATGAGAAACATCGACCAGCTGCCTCCTGCACACCCCTTACCAGGGATATGTCCGCAACCAATGTACATGCCCTTGACCGGAATCGAACCCAGGACCTTTCAGTTCACAGACCGACGCTCTACCACTGCGCCAAACTGGCTTCGGCAGGATCTCAGTTTTAGCGTGAGCACTCCTTATCCCTGTTCATTGCTGTAACTCAGTTTTTCAGTATGCACCATATGGTATTGCCATCCTTTCCAGATCTCCCCAAGAGTTATTATGTTTTTCTTAGTGTCTGGCAGTTAGACACTAAGAAAAACATAAGCAGCATTCCAGGTACACATAAACCAAACTTATTTAAGAGTAGCAAATATTTCCATGAGTGTGTGGTGTGTATGTGTGTGACTGCCCTGCTTTCCTTCCCTACTGACCTTTCTGTGGAACTTACCCATCATCTCTCTCCAAGCACCATATTTGAGAAAGAAAACAAAAGCCACCTGTCAGCTCCTTGTCAGAACCTTCCAGGGCTTTATGTGCTTATCAGCTAATGCTAAATGTGGTCTGTGGGGATTTATCAGGGAACTGGGCTTGCAGACAAGGCTTCTAGTTCTTTCAGCTCTCCCGGACTAATGACCCATGAGGTGCAGATGACCCCTGACAAGCAATTTTGACTTTGAATCTGACAGACGGAGAACTGACAAAGAAATGTAAAATGGGGGTGTGTCTTAGAATGGCATACCTGTCAACTCTATCCATAACATAGATTTCAATGCAAAGTGGTGAGTGACTAGACAATTCCATTTACCTATGGCAATGAGGGGTATAATTTGTGTTGGCAGCAGACTCCTCTTGTTAATTACACTTTTTTCATAGCCAGAAATTAACATAAACTTTCACTCATGGTCACGCAGTGCTGGATGGTGATGAGAGGTTGTGGGCATCTTTCTGGGGGTAAGGGACGGCCCGCTCCAGATTCACAGTTTTCCAGAGACAGGCACAAAAGGAACAACTCCACAGGGCAAGGCATTGCAAAGATGGGAGTGACCACAGAACCAAGTTGTTCGGCTCAGAAAAGAATGGTAGCTGGTGATTTAGAATTTTCTCAGCTATTACTCTACCAGGAACAGATATAAATTGGTAATGTCCCATTTGGTGAAAAGTAGAAGGTGACTCATAGGCAATAACTGTGGGATATTTTTGGTTTAAGTTTGTTGTCAGCACGTGGGTATCTTCTAATAGTGCATTTCCAACTCTTGGGCTCAGTTGTAGTTAAGAACTGTACAAAGACCAGACTATAGCAGGTAACCATTAAGTACCAGGGTGCCCATTACAATGTGTTAATCCCCATCATTAGAAAAGGCAAGGAGGAAGGTACTTACATGGGGAAAAGGAAGAAAATAATTCACCACTGACAAATACACAAACATCATTTCAGAATTAAACAACTGGGGATGGCCTTCTTTTGGAATTCTGCATATATTTCTTCTCTGAATCATCTTAACATTAAATTGTTTCCTAAGAAAATGACATTTGGATGTTAAAGCTCTTTGTAAAAGCAAACAACACAATGAAGCTCGGTGAGACAGGAAGTGATTTTTGGAGGCAGAACTTCTGGAAGGCATTCTCTTTAGAAAAGTTAGTCATTTAGACAACTTTGCAGGAGGAGGGCAAATACACATGCTTCTTATTGGCATCATACTAGCGTTTAGAACAGAACTGTTCCATTAAGTATGTTGAAATTATAACATTTTGCAGAATTTTTTATTATAATTTGTATAATCATTGTGCTATTTTATCACCACTGGACATTTTCATGGGATACATTTTGATGTTTTATTAGCAAATGCTTTTTTTCAGACTATGTGACATTAGGTGAAGAGAATACTCATAATTTAAATTAAAATACCCATATTAAATTAGCCATCTCTTTCCACTGCACGATGAAGGTACTAGTATACTAGTATGGTCTCACTAATTTTGTTACCATTTTTGCTTTGACCACTGATAGCAAGGAGGCTGAAGCTCTCCTTCCTCTGAGACTTCTCCTTCAGAAAATTATCTAAATCTCCGGAAGGAAGGACCTACAACCTGTAGCCAGCAGTGTGCATTTCCTTCTGATTTATTTACTACTGCCGATGCCATCTTTCCCGGGGATGCCTTTTCCCCTCTTACAATGCTTTTATGTAATTTAAATAAAAGTACAAAGTAACATGGCTCCTGTCCAAATTACAGAGAAGTTGGAACTAAGTGGTCTGTGCTAACATCAATGGGGACATAAGCCTGTAATGAAAGTTTCAAAAAGAGAACATTTAATTCAGCAAAGCATGAATGGGAGTTTTACATGTTAGACCAGGGGTCGGCAAATCGTGGCTCTCCAGACACATGTGGCTCTTTGGCCCCTTGAGTATGGCTCTTCCACAAAATACCACATACTCTAATTAAGTTAATAACAATGTACCTACTTATATAGTTTAAGTTTTAAAAATTTGGCTCTCAAAAGAAATTTCAATCATTGTCCTGTTGATATTTGGCTCTGCTGACTAATGAGTTTGCCGGCCCTGTGTTAGACTATATCTAGCAATCCTGAGAATGAACGTTCAGGTACTAGTGAAGTAAATGGAGGCTTGCTACATCCACAGATTTGCCATATGTATGGAAATAATCCTCTACTATTATCACCGTCAATTAAAATAATTACAATGCCTCTTTACTAAATACAACCTAATTTGTAAATGGCAAGGGATGGTGGTATTATAAGGTTCTGAAATATTGGTTTTATTCAGAAAATAGTGTAATATGTAATGCATTATGTGCAGCTATTGTTTCCATCCAAAATTACTACAAGACGAATTCTTTGCAGCACACTTTAAAACCAGCAGATCAGCCAATTTACCTTGAGCCCTAGTGGGGGGAAGTTCCCTCAAACTCTGAGTTTTAAAAGGTTCATGGGTATTCACATCAATTTGCTGTGGTATTCGAATCCATCTTATTTTTACATCTAATCTCCTTTCTGTATAGACTGATAACACAGAATAAACAGATTTCACTGCTATTCTTGTACTAGTCCCAAAGGAGACTATGGCAATGTCATTTCTGAAATTACTAATTTTAGCCCAAGCCACACTGATGGTTATGGAGAAGAAATGAAAAACGTTGCATTTAACACTTAAAAAAAATGACCAGCTGGCCAACTATGCAGATTAATAATATCCCTCTGTATGGGAAAGCTCCCAGCATGACAATTCATCTTGCAGCTAACTAGAAAAATTAGCATGCCCCTATTGATTATGTATATTTGGGGAGGGGTCAGGGAATCTTTGTATTGCACAGAAAATAATAAGACTGTTTCTGGCAGATATTCTGGAATGACCAAAGGATACTTATTACTACCCCGTGAAAGGCTGCAGATGAGAGAGGACAAGCATAGCAAATCACTTCGGCATGAGGAAGCAATGAGAAAGCAAAAATGAAACCATGAAAGCAAAACAGAGGGTCTTTGTGTTTTTCTAGGGACTTCTGTACAACAAGTCTGTACCCTCTGCTGTCAGAACCACATTAAACGGGCACAGTTAAACTGAGTGTGCCTGATAAGAGGCTCTGCTCGCTATCACAGTTTTCCATCAGTTGGATTGAATTTCTGGCATATTGCACATTTCCCCACGTCCCATTCTCTCTCCTTCCTTACAGAGACACTACAAGGTCAGCCTCAGATATGCTTATAACTTGTGGTTTTATAATGCAGGGGGTGTCTACATTGTCAAAGAAGAAATGGTACCAAAGGAAGTCAAGAGCAAAAATGGAGGAAAACAGAAGGAAAAGGAAAAAAAAACAAAACACTTTTACAGAAAGCATAGTCTGCATATGATTCCAGAGTTTGAAAATAAAAGGCTTGTATCGCTTTAGAGTCAGAGCTACTATGTGCATTTGCTTCAAATTATAGTATGTCAGTGAAATGCTAAGGAACCCTAAACATCAATTAATCATTAAACTAATAATAAATAACTAATAATGCCAATCATAGTTACTTCTAAAACCTCATCTATTTTTGAACTATTCTAGAAAAAAATGTATAATTACTTCATATTTCAAGTTTTCCCTTTGAAAATGAGAGCATGTATTATCCTTTAAAATTTCTTTTATAAGAGGATAAAAATATACGATATGATACAATCAGTAATTACATTGAAGAGGGGTTTTTTTTGTTTTGTTTAAGTGCTTTAAAACTTATGGAACGAAAGAATGAACATCACAAATCAATTATTCAAGAAAAGAAATAATATAAGGACTGTTAGTGCAGCTTCCCTGGGAAAATGTAAAAATGTTTTTTTATTCTTTTCATCCTCACCCAAGGACATACTTTCATTGATTTTAGAGATAGAGGGAGGAGAAGAGAGAGAGAGAGAGAAAGAGAGAGAGAAAGGAGAGAGAGAGGAGAGAGAGAGAGAGAGAGAGAGAGAGAGAGAGAGAGAGAGAGAGAGGAACATTGATGAGAGATAAACAATGTGAGAAACATCAAACATTGATCGGTTGCACCCCCTCCAGGGCTGGAACCTGCAACCCAGGCATGTGCTCTGACTGGGAATAGAACCCACAACCTCTAGGGTACAGGACAACGCCCAGCCAACTGAGCCACACCCACCAGGGCTTCTTTTATTATTTTTTAAAAGGCAATGTCCCCCTTTGCTCTGGACCTCTCATTAAAAAACCAAGTGCTAGGAAGTCAAGTTTCATAAAGAATATCTTAGTCTTAACATCTATATGGGTAGAGTGAACTGAATACACCACTTCCAGAAAAATAAGAAATGCTTAAATCATATCGTCAAAATAGTCAATATTCTCTTCAATAGTTAGCACTTATTTATTTATTTTAATATATTTTATTGAGAGGAAAAGAGAGAGATAGAGAGCTAGAAACGTCGATGAGAGAGAAACGTCGATCAGCTGCCTCTTGCTCACCCCCTACCAGGGATGTGCCCACAACCAATGTACATGCCCTTGACCGAACTCAAACCTGGGACCTTTCAGTCCACAGACTGACGCTCTACCACTGAGCCAAACCAGCTTCGGCAGCACTTTTATTTTTCACAATGATGTTCATTCCCTTTCTGTGTGGCTGAAATGCTGGCAATAACCATCCCCACAGAGTCCCAGCACAGGAGTGTAATTTTAAGATGACACCAGCAGCCTCATTTGCCTGCACTGTGATGACCAGCATTCTGAAAAGGGAGCTGACAGGGAGCCATCTCTCTGTTAGGGTTGCCACCAAGCTTTCTCTCTTTTATTCTCTTCTGCTTGAACTTTCTCTTTACCCCATAATCTTTTAAAAAAATATTTTTTATTGATTTTTTTTTTACAGAGTGGAAGGGAGAGAGCTAGAAACATTGATGAGAGAGAATCAACCAGCTGCCTCCTGCACTCCCCCCCCTCCCCACCACCACCGAGGACGTACCCACAACCAATGTACATGCCCTTGACCAGAATCAAACCTGGGACCCTTCAGTCCGCAAGCTGATGCTCTATCCAATGAGCCAAACTGGTTTCGGCACCCTATAATCTCTGGCCCATATATTTTCATCAGCAAAGAGCAGGAAGAGCCCAACCAGCCTGTCATAGTATCCAACAGATCAAACCAGGGATGGCGGGGCACTTACCTGGGAGCCCTTGGGCATGTCTGCCTCGGCTTTGGCTTTGAGGGTTTTCTTGTGGTTTCCTTGCGCGCTGCTGGAGCCACTGGTGAGACAGGAGCCCTGGGAGCTGCCCTTTATCACGCTCCTGCAGGAAACATTGCTTGATCCACTTTCTGTCTGTGGAGCTGCTCTCTTATCAACTCTGCAGGTAGAAAGGGATTCCTCTGATAAATGACATTGCTCTTCTTCAATCACTCTCCTCTTCCCAGCCCCTTAATGTTTAAAGTAACGGCCTTAGATCCCTGTCTTTAACCCTCCCAGTGAGAGTGCTTCCCCATGACCTTGATCAGATCTTTACCTGATATTCCAGGCGTGTGTCACTTTAGATTTGATAATAGAATACTTTATTTTTTATGAGATTGGGGGACAAAAAATAAAAACACTGTAAAGTGATTGCTAACTACATTCCTGGCTTAAGATGGGCAGGAAATGTAATTTCCTCTGGAAGTTTCTAAGTATCCGTTTGCTGGGTACAATCAATGAGATTGGCATACTCTGCATAGTGCGTTTAATTTGCTTCCATTTCATGCCATGTGGGTACATTCATGCTTCCTAGTGTGGGCTGAAATTCTTTCAACCTTGATAAAACTTACCATTCTTTAATTTCAAAGACCATTGGTTTGGTTAACAAAGTAACATGGACTAAATTATCACTTTATTGCTAACTTTTATTTCATTGTTTAAATTCTGGCTAATGTATAAAAGACTGTTATTATGTGCTCCTGCTTGTATGAAAGGCACGCTTGGCTGGCACTTGGTGTTCATTAAGCAAACAACTCTCCCTGTGTGTGGGGGAGGGGCCCTCCACATCCCCGCCCGCTGGGCCCACGCGTTTTACCTGCTCAAAAGCTCGGTCATAAAGGTGTCTTTTGTTGGACATGCAACAGGACTGGGTCTGTTCCTGGGTTCACACTTCCCTTGCTCGCAGATGTCTTGCGCTGCTTTCCGACTGCTTTTGCTGTGGAAGATGGCGTCTGGAGGACCCCGCAGCTCTGGGTCCCTGCGAGGCTCACTCTCCACCTCACTCTGCAGCTCAGGCTTCTTCTTGTCCTTCTTCCGCTCGGCTTTTAGCTGTTTGGGTCCGAAGCCCAGGCCTTTGGCATCCTTCTTCTCCACTTTGGGTTTGGAGGCCTCCATCTTCCTGCTGCTGAGAGCGGGGAGACGGCTCCTCCGAAAACCGAACCAGCTGGCGAAGGAAGGCCCGGGCCGCGGCTTGGCTTCCACAGACGCGGCCTTTGTCTGCACTTGGCCCTTCTCCATGTTCTCCTGAATGCACAACATGACCTTTTCTTCGATGGAGGGGGAAAGGGGGGCTTCTGGGCTGGCAGCGGCCGCAGTCCTGGGGATAGTAGGATCTGCATGCCTCCCAGAAGCTTCTAGCTTGGCGGCCCTGCTGGTTTCACAGCCGCTTGGGCGCTGGGTGCTCCCTGGGCTCTGCGGGGCCCGTGGGCATGGGTCACTGCCTGGCCCTTTAGGCTCAGCCACCCCCGGGCAGCCTCCCTGGGTGCAGGCCTGCAGGTCTTGGGGGCCAGGTGGGGTCAGGAGCCCCTCTGGTGGCGGAGGGACCCGCAAAGGCAACCTGCTGGGGCTGCCCTGCTGGCTGCAGGCGCTGCCCGTGCTGCCCAGCGAGCCCTGCCTGGAGAGCGCCTGCGGGGGCCGCCCAGCGCTGCAGGGGAGACCCTCGGGGGTGGGGGCGGCCGGGGTCTTGCTGGGGGAGCCCTCGGAGGAGCTCTGCCTGGTGAGGGAGCTGCCTCTCTCCGCCGTGTTGGTGATGATCTGAGTTCGGACCCTGCCTGGCCCTTCCGTGGGCGGCTTGTCCCCCGCGTGGGCGCTGAAGCTCTGGCTGCGGGCCTTCGCCCCGTTCATGCCCAGGGCCGGCTTCGGGTGCGGCTTGCTGGAGGAGAGGGATCTCTTCACGGACCTGCTGTCCGCCCCGTCCTTTCCAGAGGCCCCGGAGGCGCGGTTTTCCAGTGTCTCTGGCGTGGCTGCTTCCAGGGGCAGCCCCCCGGCCAGGGCCAGGCCCTCCGGGACCCCGAAACCCGGCGGGGGGCCGTGTCCCGCGCCCGCCGCGGCCTCAGGGCCCACGGGGCTCCCGGAGCGCGCCAGCCGCGGCTTGCTGGCGGCCGCGGAGCTCCGGGAGGCCTCGTTGAGGCTGTCTTTCTCCTGCTTCCCGGGCACCGTGGAGCTCCTCCTGGGCGGCTGCGGGGACCTCAGGAGGGCCCGGAGCCCCGCCGCCAGGCGCGGCTTCACCCCCTTCTCAGGGGGGTGCGCACCCCCGTGGGGGGCGCTATGGCTTCTGCAGGGGGCGGAGGGGCTGATGCTCTGAGATGGAGGCGGCTCGTTTGCCCCCAGGAAGGAAGGCGTGGGCGACACAGAGGCGCTGTCATCCGCTGGTCCTTTTCTCCCCGGAGACGGCCTGTCTGAGGCCGCTGCTTCCAGTGGCTCATGGGCTGCAGGCCAGCTCTTGGGGACCCGTAACCCTGTGTCCGTGTGCGGGGCCCCAAAGGTTGGATGAGGTGGGGTGTTAGGGACCCCTCTCTTTGGAGAGCCCTTAGGGGGCCCCGGGGCCAAAGTGACCAATGAGCCGCAGGGGGTGTACGTGGGGCATCTGGTTTGCACCCCCGTGTCTGGGGGGGCCAGGGGGTGAGCGAGGAGGGGCTTCTGGAAGGCCACGGAAGGTTTCCTCCCCAGCGCTTCTGCGTGGCTGGAGGAGATGGCAGGCGCGGAGGATCCTTTCAGGAGGGGGGCCCTGAGGGCAGCCCGTGCAGCTTCGAGGGGGGCCCTGGCCTCGGGCCGGGCGGCGGGGGCCGGCGGCCCACAGTCATACCGGGGCCTGAGGAGCAGGGACACCGACCTGCCCGGAGGGGGCGGCGGGGGAGGGGATGTGGGCCCCGGGCAGGGCTTGTCGCTTGGGAAGGGCTCTCCGTGGCCCCTGGGCCCCCCGAGGGGCGCTGACAGCTGGCTCGTGGGGCCCTGGGCCTCCTCCCTCCGGCGGGGCGCTTGGGAGCCGCGCTTTGCCGAGTGGGCGTCGGGCTGCAGGTCAGCAGGGGGCGCGGGACCCTCGGCCCTCCTGCTGCGGGGCAGCTTCCCGGGCGCCTTCTCGGGGGTCACTGGGCCCGAGGAGGGCCCCCTCTTGCAGGCCTCGGGCTCCGTGGGTTTGGGCTTCTGCGGGGAGGGCTTGCCCCTGGCGGGGATTTTGCTCAGACTCGGCTTCGGGTGGAGGCCCACGGCTCCTGGGGACCTCCAGGTCCTCTGGCCGGTGCTCCGCGTAGGTCCGACCGGCTTCTGTCTCTGAATGTTTGGCGGTGCCATTGTCCTGGGGCTGAGGGGCCCAGCGGTGGGTGCCTCGGGGACCAGGAGGGTCCCCACGTCGCCCCCTGAGCCCCCCGGGATGCTGCAGGCTGCCACCGCCGCGGGCCCCTCTGCGGAGGCGAAGGCGCGGTCGCGGGCAGCTCCGGGCTGGAGACCAGCGGGTCCCGGGCGCGGGGTCTGAGCGATGGAGACCTCGTTCCTGGTGACGGTGACCACCCCGGTCTGCTGGGAGCTGAACTTGATGGGCTCGCCGTCCTCCGCGTCGAAGATGACCATCACGCACTCCTCCGAGGACGTCCTCCGCACCACGCGCTGCTGCCGCAGGAAGCCCAGGGTCCGCGGCCTCTCCAGGCGGCCGGGCATCTGGTCCCCCTCCCTGGGGGGCCCCAGCGGAGGTCTCCTCCCAAGCTCCACCGGGGCATCCAGGTTCTCCGTGGACTTGTCGGTGTCGGTGGCCAGTGACAGGTCCGAGGGGCTCTTTTCGTCGCTACTCCCGATGTGCAGCTCGTCCAGGGTGTCGTTGTCGTCGGTGTCTGAGAGCTGGAGACTGACGGCCACGCGGCCCCGGCTGCTGGGACACCCCTCTCTGTGTCCCTTGGGCGCCTGCTTCCTCTCCGGGGGACAGCCGCTGGCACAGCTGCTCAGCTTCTCAGGTCTCTCTCCGGGGTAGACGGAGGGGCCTTCGGAAAGGTGTCTTCCCTGCAGCTCCCAGCTAAACAGACTGTCGGAGACGCTGTGGGTCAGCTTGCAGCCGCGCAGTCTGCAGGCCTGGCTGGGAAGGGCCTGGGTCCATGCGAAGGCGGAAGGGTCCTCGTTGGGGTCGTCGTGGGAATCTGTGTCATAAACAAATGCCTGGAGGGACTCCCTGCAGCCGCCCCCCAGCTCTGCTGTTTTGCAAGGGGCATGCTCCTTGGGGCTGCTCTTAATTCCTGGAGAATATATTCCTTCGTTGGAGTTCATGCAATCTTTGTAGCCCCATTTGGTTATCACTGAGGGGGATTCAAGTAACACTCTTCGCTTCTGCAGCTTCCTCAGTCCTTCCAGAATGTGGCTTTCCTTGATACGCGTCGGAGGTAGTTCATCGTTAGGACTAGCAAAGCCACTTGGGAGCGAGGAGTCAATACTTAGCCTTTTATCCCAGTTTTGTGAAGATGGCTAGGAAAGAAAAGCAGAGGTCAGAGAGGATAGAGTCGTGAGGATCATACTTTTATAACAGAAGGCCATCACTGAACTTCCTGTATTCTAGTGGTTGATAGATGTTCACAATAAATGCATACATTAATTAATTAATGCAACTTAATTAACTAGGAAGCAGATTTCTACTTGGCCAGGTTCTGAGCTAAGCAGTATGTAATTTAAAGAAGAAGAGAATAAGGACCTGCCTCAAGAAGAATGCACTAGCAGAGAAGAGGACCTGAACACGAATGGATGCTCTAGAAATTCAGGGAAGAGGGACCATATGTCTGTTTGGAAAATCCTCAAAAACCACCTAAGGAAAGATGTTACTTTTTTAAAAACCTACCTAGCCATTGAAAGATGGCAAGGTTTGCTTTAGTTTAAAAATGGGGAGAACATTTCCAGAAGAAATGTAATAGCAAGGACCCAAACTGGGAAGTAAGTTTAAGGTACATGTAGGGAATAACCAAAGACAATATGGCCTCAGGGTACATGAGAGGTAGAGGATAAATGGAAAAGTAAGTTAGCCTATGTCTATGAAAACTTCCATTCTAACACTGGATGGTTACAATGTCATGTGACTTCATGACTTTGACAGGAAGGGGACCCCCGGAAAACATACCCACACAGAGAGTAGTGGGCAGCTGCTGTTAGAACCCACAATGATGATTTACCTACTAACTGAGAAAAGTTCATTTCTTTTTTTTTTAATTTATTTTTTTATTTTTTTAATATATTTTATTGATTTTTCACAGAGAGGAAGAGAGATGGATAGAGAGCTAGAAATATCGATGAGAAAGAAAGATTGACCAGCTGCCTCCTGCAAGCCCCCTACCGAGGTCATGCCCGCAACCAATGTACATGCCCTTTGACTGGAATCGAACCTGAGACTTTCCAGTCCGCAGACCAACGCTCTATCCACTGAGCCAAACAGGATTCGGCTGGAAAGTCCATTTCTTGTCCTCAGACATTACCCAATACTAGAGTTAGTTTTGTAGAAGTGACCAAGAAATGACATAGAAAAAAGATGCTGCATTCCACACAGACATTGATGTTTGTTCATAGTATTGCTAACAGGAAATGGAAGGGCAGAGGAGGAAGCTAACCTGGCTAAGCACCTGTTGTGGACCAGCCACGTACATAGCACTCTGACTTAATTTTCAGAACAACACCATGAAGGAAACATTACCATCCGTTTGCTAGGGAGGAACCTGAGGTTCAGCAAAAGGGTCTGTTGGAAATCACACAGCTAACAAAGAACTGGTTGCAAGGGTGTGAACTCTAGTTTGCTGGGTTCTTCCTACGACTGACTTCCAAAGTGGCCACGTGGGGCTTTGAACCCAGGCAATCGGGCTCCTGGGGCTTGTACAACTTCATCTATATGCCGGAGTTAAGCTCAGCTTCTAGCCTCCCCTCTGTATCAGTCAATGCCATAATGGAGATCACAGGTTATTGCCTCACCTCTCTCCAATGGCACTTGCAGTTTAATCTCAAGCCAGCACGCTGGAGACTTGGTGGGATGTGGGCACTGACCTAATGCCTTTTTTTAAGGCTATAAAATTAATGGTGAAGAATTTAGCCATTAATTCTTCTTGACAAAGAGTGCAGTTACCATTGGCATCTCCACACCAGCTGACCTCCATCCCATAACTCTCAACACAAACCATGTGCTCATAAGCAGAGGTTGAAAATGCGTCAGACACTTACACTGGAATCTCAGCTTTTCAGTAAGCTGTGAACATTTATTTACATCTAAGATTTTCATAAAAATTACTCTAGCTATCAACAATATATATTGTTTATCTGTTTTGTTATTTTCTCTTTTTTTAAATTCCTTGTTTAAAGTATTACATATGTCCCCTTTTTCCCCCCTACTGATTTCTACCACTCCTCTTCCCACCCCTCAGGCATTCACTACCCTATTCTCTGTATCTATATATGCATATGAATTCATTGATTGATCTCCCTCCCACACCCTCCCCTCCTCTGCTTTCCTTCTGAGGTTTGACAGTCTGTTTGATGTTTCTTTTGTCTCTGGGTCTATTTTTGTTCATCAGTTTATGTTGTTCCGTAGATTCCACGTATGATTGAGATCGTGTGATACTTATCTTTCCCTGACTGGCTTATTTGGCTTAGTATAATGCGCTCTAGCATGTTTTCTTTAAAAAATTATTCAAGGTCATAAGTGCTGCTGATAGATGCTCTTTGGTGATGCTTCACCTCTACCCTCCTCTTCCCCTGCACCATTAAAAGCTCCTTCGGGAATCAGAAGAAATCCTGTCAGTGAGTTTGGTATTATAGACCACCCAGTGAGCGGACTGCCACAACATGGCTTTCTGAGAATGTCCATGGTCTCCACAGTCACATTCACAGTAAAGGAGAGAAGACAAAGCACCCTGCAAGAGCTTGAAAAATTGCTTTATTCAACCCATAAAAGATGTGCTCAGCCTCTGGCCATCGCACCTCCCTCTGCCTCTCCAGAGCCTTCCATGCTGTGGTTTAATTCCTCCCACAGCCAGTGGCTGCAAACCTCCCGGGGCCCAGGATTTCTGCCTGGTGAGATTGGCCGTTTCCCTCCATCAGCTGTGCACAGGAGGTTATGGTACTCAATAATGTGAGAAAAGTTTGGAACAATTTGGAAACTTGAAAAAAAAAAAAGTATGAATTCCCACGGGAGGGACCATGGGCGAAGCTGGCACTTCCCACTGGCAGCTTCGTTTTTTGCAGTTGCTCTGGGAGCAGTTTAGTACTGTTTTGAAAATGCTGCCAAAGCAAGGGCTTGGGTTTAATTCAGTCCTTTTTCTTGACTGGACTACAGTTGTACACATTTTTAAAAGGACATTATTAGTCTTATTGGGAACAAATCCATCCCAACAGTTGGAACAACTTCAAGTTTTAGGCTGACTTAACAAGGCTGGTATAGCTGAGGGGTTAAGATTGAAGGTTCTGGAATCAACAGCCAGCTCTGCTACTTACTGGCTATGAGATCTTGGGCTATTTCCTTAACTTCCCAGCATCTCAGTTTCCTCATCTATAAAACGGGGGAGTGGGAAATGCTCTTTAATAAGCTGTCCTGAACATCAAATCATTAGGAAGTTCTAACAAAACTGTGTGGTACATGGTAGTTACTCATTAATGAGGCCAAATTGCTCCATGGAAGGCAGGCTGAGTATTTCATGCAGGCTTTCTTTTTGTTTCTAAACAAAACAGTACTAAAAAGGTACATAAGAGCCATTGGCTATATATTTATTCATATGTTAATTAATATTGTATTCACATTTAAATTCATATTATATGATGCCATACTGCCTGAGTCAAGTTTATATATGTTAATACTAAAGGAGTACCTGGCACACAGTAAGAACTTAGAAGTTCTGTAAGTAATATGAATTTGAGCTGTCATTGCAAGACTGTGTCTAGCTGGCTGGGTCCCTGAGAACAGGAACTTTTCTCTGTGAGTGTGACAGGTGTGCTGGTGCATCACGGCCATTCTGAGCTGGGACCCTGGAATCTCTAAATCATGGCCACCTGAGTGTGCATGAAGTGTCCTAAGAACCTTATTGCTCCGTTTTCTGGAAAGACGTTTCCCTAGAAGATGAAAGATTGTTCTAATTGGAAGAATTTCAGCCAAAGGCAGAAAGAAAATAATAAAAAAGACCCTGAGAGGGAGAAAAAGGATGAGTGTGAAGGCAAAACAGCAGAGCCAGGAGCGCTGGGAACCAGTGACAAAGAGAGGGGACATCCCTGACCATCTTTCCAGCTGGCTGAGAGCCAGGCCTGAGCAGTCATTATTCACAACTCAAACATCTCCTTCAAGGGAATAGTTTTGATAACAGTTTTCTCACTTTGCATTAGAAGTCTGAGTCCAAGGGAATAAGCCCTACATTCTGGTTTAAAATCCTTCCCCAAGTTATTGTTCAGGGTATGACGAAGTTACCCCTCACCAATATTTTCTGGAAGCTAATGAAATTTTGTGGTTTCCATACTTCTGAAATTGTAAACTTAATTTATAAGAATCATAAAAAAATGACCTCCAAACAGTCTGACTTGGGGTTTCTATTCTCATTTACTCTTGGCTTTTCTTCAGGATTAGGAAACTGCAAAAAAACAGTTCCAACACTTGGCTCACATCACTGTGCAAAGATATCTGTAAAAAGCATGAAGGAATCTCCGGCTGCATGAGCCCACTTTGCAGGTGGGACACATTGCAGCAGGAGAGTTATTTGCAGGCCCACTAAAGGGACTCCCAGCATCAAAACAGGGACATGGCGACTTTCTCTGAGCCCTGGTGCTGGTCATCTATCACAGTATTTTCTTTCTCTGTTATGCTGCCCTCCAATTAGTTGTGTGCATTTTGGCAAGTAACTTAACCTTGTGTGGGCCTGTTTCTGCTGCCTCATAAAGGGGGCGCCATTATCCCCCTACAGAGTTTTTGTGAGGAGTGAATTAACAGGTACTCAGAAAAATGGTCATTTCCTTCTTAGCCCTACCTCCCGCCTTCCTTCTAGAAGGTAATTTTCTGGTTCACTCTGAGTGCGACGTGCCTGGAAAGGAGCCTTACCTTTTTCCTGAGGTTCTTCCCATCGTGCCACGTGCAGGAGGAGCCGCTGGAGTACTCACTGCAGGTGCTGGAAAGGGACAGCTCGCTGCTGCTGCAGCGACTGCGGGGACAGAGGTGACCGGGGAGGGCAACCCCCGAGCTGGGGCCTTTCAAGGCAGGGGCTCCTGGCTTGGCGCTCAGCTGGCATTCCTGAAAAAGGAGGAAAGCTCTGAGCTGGGGCTTGGCTCAGGGGACAGGAAATACAACTCAAGCTCCTAGTGAGGCAGAAGTGAACAGAGCAAATCAATCTCTCAGAGCTACAGTTTTCTTTTTAAAAAGCGAATCATGACAGTACTGCCTGCCTTCTAGGTTTTACTGCAGGGACCAGCCCAGCCGGGGTGCTAGATGGGAGGCATATGGCGCAGTATATGGCATATTAGGTAGTGTCTGATTATTGAGAGCTACTGTCCTCATTAGGTAAAGGGTCACAATGGAAGTTTCCCATTTTATCTAGTCAGGCTGGTTAAGGAAGCAGACCAGAATCAAAACATGACTCTAATGCTACAAAAGGAAGAAACCAGAGTCATATCTTTGGCTGGAGTTTAAGAACATGAGCGCTGGACTGGGAGCCTAGCACCTGATGCACACTGCCCCAGATAGGAGAGCTTGAGCAGGTAAAACAGCTGACTCCCACAGCCTCCATGGACCTTGTAGAGTGGGGCACTTCTACCAGATTACCCCGTGGCCCCTTCTGGCTCTGATGCCTCATGCTAAGTCAGGAATCCGATGCTAGGGCATCTCTGTGCCACCTTCTAGGAGGCCATGCACAGTGCAACACCAGCCTCAGGACTAATGAGGTTCTGAAAGATAACGGGATTTTCATATCAGTTGGCTGTCCAAACGGCAAAGGCTGTCTCACCAAATAGATCTGGTACCCATGCCGAAGACCCAGGTGGTCCAGGTTCTAGTGGGTGTGCATAGGGCATGAGTGACCCAAGTTGTAAACATCCCAGCTCTTCTTCACAGCTCTATGGGCCCCTCACGTAACAGATGAAGCAACACAAACTGGACAGGCTAAATTAATTGAGCACCCGGCCATGGGAATGGACTCTCTCCATTACCATCTCATTCTGCTCTCCTATCTACGTAAAGCTTTGTCTCTGGAACACTTAGAGGGGGGACCATCTGTCTTTGTGTCACCTGCAGAATGGCAAAGCCACTTAAGTATGCAATTTATTGACACTTTGTAGGTGCCTTTAGTACCCGAGTACTTATCAATGTCCTCCAAATGCAATTCTAACTGACGGTGACTAAACACCAGCTCGGGGAGTGAAGAGAATGCTGTACTGAGCGTACTTGTGGTGAATCTGAAACCCCTACCTACGTACAGAGGGCCCGTCTAATTTGCTGCCTAATCAATATCCATAACGCTTAATCATGCTAGATTTTCACTGTTAGGCAACTCCCTTGCTAACAATACTTCATTTTTGTGGCATAACAATCTCTTTAAGTGATCTTAAAATGACCAAAAAAAATATTGTATGACTCCACTTCACCCCCCTGGAATTGGACTGTAAATATCAATTAAAGGAAAAACTTGTCTTAAACTCCGGCTTTTAATGAGATCTATTGATATGACCTTGTTTATTGCTGGATGTGACTTAAGGTGAGTTCATATTTATATTTCAACCAATGCGTCCAACCATGGTCTTACTGCACAGACACACCCGGTGTCTGGCTTCGGGACTGCGGCCACGTGGACACCCTGAAGGGCCCCTCGGAAATACCATATAGGGCATCACTTCTGCGGTGTGCTTCCTGTGTTCTTATTCTGTTCTCTCATATTTGGTTGCCTGAGTAAGAGGTTTGCTCTGGACTAGCTTTGCTCTGACAGATGCATGTTGCATGGCCACCTGACCTAAGCCTCCCCAATGGCCCTTGTCATACACTGCATGGCTTTGTTACAGTTTATATTCCACCTTTTCCCAAGGTATTGAAACTTATATTTCCCACCTACCCCTTCCCAATACACTTATCAGCATTATTGTTATTGCAGCCTCATTCCATTCCTAGCCTCTTTTAACAAGGGCACATTCCTGCCCAGTTGTTGCCCATGTGTGCACCATGGCTTAGCTGCTGGATTATTCAGATGACAGGAAGTTAGAGGAAGATGAGCTGAAGGAGGGAGAATGGCTGCTTCTCCCTTGACCTTGAACTTCAGATGCCAAGATGTGATAGGAGATTATCTAGGAGGTGGGAAAGGCCCATCAATGTTATGGAAGCATGTGGGATTGGGTGGTTAAGCAGAGACTTATCTTCCAAGCCAGGCTTTTACACTTTAATGTGGATGTGAGTCATCCAGGGTCTGTTTAATACAGATTCTCATTCATTCTGAGGTGGGACCTGAGCTGAGTTACTTTTAACAAGTTCTCAGGTACCTCGATGCTGCTGGCCCAGGCTCTGAGCCTTGTGTTGAAAGCCTGTAGGAGCAGCTGTGAGAAGGGTTTACCTAGTCTGTGGACTTCATGGTAGCGTGTTGTGTGATCTCACAGTCCAACCTGGGCCGAGCTGAGCAGGACCAAAGGTATGGCCATGGGCAGTGAAATGGGGAGTGTGTGTGTGTGTGTGTGTGTGTGTGTGTGTGTGTGAGAGAGAGAGAGAGAGAGAGAGAGAGAGAGAGAGAGAGAGAGAGAGAGAGAATTATAGAATAATTCCCTGCAATAAAAGAGGAAGCAGCTAGCCCTCCCTACTGGGAACTCTCCCACCATTCTCCCACCTTAGACAATCCATGTTTGAATTTAAAAAGGACTCAGACTCTCTGACATCACAGCTGCGAAGTGAGCTCTTCTTCCTGCAGTTCCTCTCTTCACAGCACAAGATTATCATATAGGACTATCTACTCTATTGAGTCACTGTTCTGTGATTGAGCGCTTGAACTCCGAGGCCATTTGTTTTGTTTAAATCTTGGCTATTCCACTTGCTAACTTTGAGGTTAGGAAAATGACTTAACTCATCCATGCTTCAGTCTCTTTCTCCCTAAGAGGAGAGAATGAAAACATACCCTACATAAGATTATTGTTAATTTTGAACAACTCCTAGCATATACCAATGCTTAGTAACTTTTAGGTGTTGCTACTATTATTAAAAACTGTTTTTGAAATACTATCTTGGCTCTTTAAATCATTAATTTAGAGCCTCCCTCAGGGGCCCTGGATGATACTTCTTGACAGGCCATCATTGTCTGACACCTTGCATGTAGGAGCCGTGATGAGCAACAGCCAACAGAAGGTATGTTTTGTTTCCAGGGATCACTGATGTGAGTTGCCAGAGGATATGCTAGTAAATACCATCCACAGTTATCAGTCTCCATCTCAGCCATGTTATTGTGTGGCTGTGGCATGGTGCCACATTCTTTTGAAGCACAGGAGAGGGCTAAAGCAGCAGAGAGCTTATTACTGACACTATTGTTAACAAGTAATATGTTAAGTACATTTCATATATTCTCATGTAACCCTCACCACATCCTCAGAAAAACAAATAAACACCAGCCATCATTAGGCTCATTTTTGGATAGGGAAACTGAGGCAGTGAGGTGTCAATATTTAAGGGCACCCAGCCAACATGATGCTGATGTCAGATCCAGGTCATAGCCACTATGCTATAGTAAGGCCCTAACAACAGCAGACCTCCTGGACATATATACCAGATATCTTACTGAGAAGAGTTATAATTTGTAATAGAAGATGATAATTATTAAAATTCTTCTTTAAAAAATGTATACTGGCTTCCACTGCAACATTATCTTACTTTGATTTACTTGGCAAAATACACCCCATTTTCACTATTCAAAGTATATTTTAGACTACTATCTTGAATCACTCATGTGTTTTAACATCCTTCCTTACTGTGAAAAAGGCAATACAAAATCCACAATTTTAGCTAAGAAAAAGGATAGAGAGAATGAAGGCAAGAGTTCCTCAGATAAAAACTGCACACTTAAGATATTCCTGACCTTAAGGCCATATTACAGATAGGATGCCATTAAGATATTCATAAATATTTAAAGTGATGGAATTCCACTAAAATTTCACTTCAATCTAACTTGAGAACATTTACTTTTGATAAAAGATATCCTATCCATCCTTATAAATATTATACAGTAAAATAAAAAAGCCAGTTATTCACAATGTTCATCTGTCATTGTTTTTAAGCAAAAGATTTTTCCATATATATTTATTTGGCTGTGGGTTTTTTTTTTCAAGCTACTTTTTTTTAGGTCAATGATACTTAAAAGCCATGCTGGTTAAAGTTTTGCCAAATAAGCACAAAGCTCACCCTTGCTGAAGAAAAAATTGTACAGCCCATGAATTTTTAAAAGTTCATACATAATATATCATGAAAGGAGGATGACTAATATGGAACACGGGCTTTAATAAAAAGCTCCTTGACCATTTCTCAGAGACTCTGAGATGTAATCAATACCCCAAAAGGTATCCTGGGGACAAAGCCAAGATTTATGATATTTTTGCCTGGAGTGACACTTTCGGCTCCTTCTCTCGGCGGGGGGCAGTGAGACTGAGTTTCAGAGATCACAGGAAAGCATTTTGTCTGCCTGACAAAGCTTCAGCAAGGCACAAGGTGGTTCCCTCATGACATTGAACTTGATGGAGGAGAAACAGCCACCTAAACAAGCGTTCTGAAGGCACCGGGAAACTCACATGCGTCTCAGCATCACTCCGTGTCTGTGTCAGACTCCGGCTCCTTTCCACTTCTGCGAGCAGATCTCCGGATGAAAGATGTAAGATGCGTGAGTGAAGTTTCTAGGTGAAAACAAGCAGAAACATGGGATTGTGATGATTTAATTCTCCGTTCCAAAACCCTGCCTTGGACAGGTAAATCTCAAAAGAGTTGACACATCTCAATTGGATAATACATATCCTGACTCCAAAGAGCTTATTCTAGTTCACCGGTGTTCTATATACACGGGTGCACAAATTACAGCTTATCAACAACAATCACACTTTCACAGTCTGTCTGTGATGGAAAATAAGCTGCAGGGGAAAAAACAAGTAGTGGCTGGAAAATAAGTAGTAAGAGAATTGCGAACACCCCAATACACTCACTGGTGTGAAAATTAACTTTTGGTATTCATATGAAAACACAATCACCATGTTAACCTCATTATGTTGAGCACTGGTTAAAATCTGAGCAAATGGTTATAAAAGTGACCTTATTTCTAAACAGCATTGATCTTGTGAAATCTTCCCGTGGACACATTTTAACTCAAAGTCATTAATGTCATCTGTTAGGAACAATTAATGTGAATGGAAAATAATTGCATCGGGGACCTGGGGACTCAGATTTTGGGCATTAATATTCACACGCTACTGGATAATATGCTCCATTCTTTATTTCGACTCTGCTTGGGAGGCCTGCTAAACCAGGGACATTTCACTATATTAATCTTTTTACTAATTACTGAGGCTTTTCTGTGGACATTAAATTTGATCTGTTTAATTGCAAATACAATATAACCTGTGATTTATGTTTAATGTTTCTGCTAGCTGCTGACATTTAAAAAATGGTACGTATAGCCAGGCTTCTCTTGGTTACAACTTTTGTGACTTTGGACAGTAAAAACTTCTAATCGAGTGAGTAAATAATGGGGTTAAGCTTGTCTCCCAGGCCCGCTTCCCCCTCCCACCCCCCAACCCTCTCCCCTTCTCTCTTCACACACACACATCCAACCCTGAAAAGCTTTCCTCTTCCTGGTCCTCCCCGGGAAGGCCTCGCTGCACACTGATGCTGATCAGGAAATGACTTAGATTTCCTGTCACTCATTAATGGTAGGGTTACTTTGGAGTGCAGGGGCTGTCACACGGGTCACTCTGTCCCAGGAGAGCCATCCCATTGTCAGCATGGACAGCAAACCCCACTACAAGGAGACAGCTGACCCCCTGGGGCTGAGCTGGGTGAGGGCCTCTGTGCTGGAACTGTGGGAGGAGGTTCTGCTCCCTCTGCAGGAGCGAAGGCATTTTCTCTGCGAGGGAGCTGTTCTCAGTGCAGCTTGCTCACTCTTGATTCTTTCAGCCCATGTTGGTGGAGTTTATTTCACCAAAAGGGCACAAGGCCTGCCGAAACTGGTTTGGCTCAGTGTGGATTGAAAGGTTCCAGGTTCAGTTCTGGTCAAGAGCATGTACCTTGGTTGTGGGCACATCCCCAGAAGGGGATGTGCAAGAGGCAGCTGATGGATGATTCTCTCTCATCAATGTTTCTAACTCTCTATCCTCCTCTCTTTCTCTCTGTAAAAAATCAATAAAATATATTTTTTTAAAAAGACAAGAAAAAAAAAAACATTTAAAAAAGGGCACAAGTCCTAAACTGGTTGCCTGTTATGTTGAAAAATCTAATTTCTCCAATAAAGCTAAGACATCGGTAGGTAACTAGGATCAGGATGTTGTTTCTGCCCAATTTTATAGTCCTTACCTCAAGCTCCCTGTACAATCTGAGTCTTCTGGGGGCATAGATTATCTAATCCCCAGGACTTGTCACAATGTGTAATATTCAGTAAGTACCTCCGGATGCTTATTGTACTCCATGAAGAAAAAAGATGGCTTTATATTCCCCCCACCAACATGTAAGTTTCAAAGATTGGGAAAGTGCCCAAAGAATTATAATGTTCCGAAACCTAAAAAAATACATTTATCAATATGCAAACAGTCCAAGAAGTTATGGGAAATGACATTCAACCAAAAATAATGAATCTGAGTGGTACATCATGTGATTTGAGGGAAGTGTCCTTATAGATTAGTTATTTGTCTTCTCATTCAGTTCATGGTTACACTTCACTCTTTCTTATCAGATATGATGTCATCCTTCGCTTTCTGCATGAATATGTGTGTATATAAAGCCATCCTCCTAAATGAAGCTACATTTCAGCAGTGATTATCCAAATGGCCAGTTTCCTCCACAGATATAGGTACGGTCACGTTGAAAAGGTGACAGATCCTAGGGCAAGGGGCCAGGCGCCCTGAGTTCCAGCCCTGTCTGAGGCATAGGTTTGCCCAGATCTTGAGACTGCAACTGCACATCTCCATCTCAGATTCCTCACCTGTAACAGAGGGATGGAGGTGGCCACCTGATCTGCTGCACAGAGAGGCAGAGGTATAGCCATGGACAGAAAGGATAATAAATAAAACAGTATGCTGAAATTCATCCAGCCTCGTATCCATTAATTGCTATAACTCAGAGTAGGTGGTAGTTAATTTTTTAAAGGCTCAAGGTACAAATGAATCATTTGTTGTTATGTTATCCTGATATCTAAGGCAAATAAAAATGGTCTTAGAAAATAAATCTACCTCTCTGTTAAAGTGGTGGGCAAGAAAATGGTAGATAAACATTGTTCTTTCACACAATGTCCCTTAAGTAGCCACAAAACTAATAAGCCCATAAATGTTACACTTCTTATGAAAAGAATTTTAATGAAAGGCTACACTTCCACATGTATATGCATATGTAATATTATAATAAACTCTATTCTCCTGGACAGAGGAAGAGAGCCAGAGAGAGTCCAAGGGCAGAGAGCAAGTGCATGGCTTTCAAACTGGACCATGATGTCATCGGATTAATTTGGATCTCAGGGAAAAGTAGATAGAATATAAATATGGGAAATACAATCAAAGCAATATCTTTTTGGATCTGTCTCTTGGGCAAGGGAAACAAAAGCAAAAATAAACAAATGGAACTATATTAAAATGACAATCTTGTGCACAGCAAAGGAAAAACAAAACAAAAAAAACAGTTCACTGAATGGGAGAAGGTATTTGCAAATGATGTATCTGATAAGGGATATCCAAAATATATCAGGAACTCACATAACTAAGCATAAAACAACAACAACAAATAACCGGATTAAAATTTGGGCAAAGGACCTGAACAGACATTTCTCCAAAGAAGACATATGAATGGCCAACAGACATGAAAAGATGCTCAACATCACTAATCATCAGAGAGATGCAATTCAAAACCACAGTGAGGTACCACTCACACCTGTCAGAATGGCCACCAACAAACAGCAACTGCTGGAGAGGATCTAGAGGAAAGGGAATCATTGTGCACTACTAGTGGAAGTGCAAATTGGTGCAGCCACTGTGAAAAACAGTGTGGAGGTTCCTCAAACAATTAAAAATCATCTCCCTAGGACACACCCCTATGTTTACTGCAGCATTATTTACAAAAGCTAGGTCTGAAAGTAACCTAGGGTGTCCATTTAAAAATTGATGAAGATGTGACACATATACAATGAAATATTAATCCTAAAAAAATGATATCTTGCCATTTTTGACATGGATGAACCTGGAGGGTATTATGATAAGTGAAGTAACTCAGACAAAGAAAAATGCTGTATAATTTCACTTAAATGTAGAATAAAAACCCCAACAAAACAAAGCAGAAATAGACTCATAGAACAAACTAATGCTTGCCAGAGGGGAGGGTGGAGGGTAAGTGAAAAAGGTGAAGAGAAATATGAGGTACAAATTTCTAGTTATAAAATAAGTAAGCCATAGGGATGTAGTCTACAGCACAGTGAATACCATCAATAATATTGTAATAACTTTGTATGGTGACAGATGGTTACTAGACTTACTGTGGAGATCACATCATAAGGAATATAAATGTTGAATCACTATATTATACACCTGAAACTGTATAATATTGTATGCCAAATATACTTGAATAAAAAATGTTAAGTTCTTTTAGGAAGTATAACTGACTTTTTTTTAAAAAGCCCACCTGCTTAAAGGACAAATTCTGTATCACACACCTGTCTATAGTTCATGTTTACTGTTAGTGTCTACTGGGATCAAACCTCTCACCTGCAATACTCCAAACTTGAAGTCTTTGACCTGTGAGTCTGGGTAAATCCTGGATTTAGATATGATTTTTTAAATGCTTTAGACATGGAGGTAGCGAGATTATTCAGTATTGGTCTGAAATTGACCTCGCAGCCTCTTTTACATTATCTCAGTGACTGAGATTGTACTTGATCTTAGAAAGAGACACATCTCCAAACCAGAGGTCAGCGCCATCTTTTAGCTCAAATACTTTCTTTGATGATGAAAGCCTTTGCCTTCTTCCTTGCCAGACAGGTTTCCTTGTTTCCGGAATGATCCCCTCTCACTTCTGCGCATTTGCTTTTGTCTTTCTCCCCATGCCTCACTCTCCCTGCTCTTCCTACTGGTCTAAAACCTGCCCCCTTTCGGGACTGCACTGACACCCCACTTGTAAGGAGGTCTGTCATCTCCAGCGACAGTGTGTTCCTCATGCAGCTGGTACAGCTCTCCCCCGTTTGGCCCTTTATCTGAAGTGCACTCGTGCAGAACTGCTCCTGTAGGTAGGGCCTATTTTCCCAACAGGGTGATCCGCTCTATGAAAATGCCTGTCACGCTCTATATTTCTGCACTTTCTCTGGGGCAAGGGACTGGCTAGTTGTCAGGGAACCTATTCCCTCTTGGGGGCATTCGGCTTCACTGCCTCTCCCAGACTCCTTTGCAGTTAGGTGTGGCCATATGACCTGATGATTCTAGCCAATGGAGTGTGAGCAAAAGTGATGTTTGTCCTGGCCCATGAGTATCTCCAGCATGCGGTGCTGCAGGCTTTTCGCTTCCCACCATCTTGAGGCAGCCAATTCAGCACAGCCATCTCCATCTCCGGATGCTGAGGGTGGTATTAGAGATGGAGCCACCAGGTGGGAGGAGCTTAGGTTCCTGAATTGTGAACTGGAGGAGAGCCACCTGGGAATCAAATATACCTCTTTTCA